AAAAAAAAAAAAAAAAAAAGAGATTAGAAAAAAGGAAATTAACAAAAAGGAAACCATTCAACAGGAGAAAGCCAACTGAAAAACAACAAAAAAGAAATCATAAAGTAGTAAAAATCCTTCACTAATTCTGAAGGATAAAGAACACACTAATTGGGGAGGGCAGTGGGGGAGAGCGTTAGGAAAAAGAGCTAATGCATGTGTGGCTTAATACCTAGGTGACTGGGTGATAGGTGCAGCAAACCACCATGGCACATGTTTACCTATGTAACAAAACTGCACATCCTGCACATGTACCCCAGAACTTAAACAAAACAAAAACAGCTGGGCACAGTGGCTGATGCCTGTAATTCTAGCACTTTGGGAGGCTGAGGCGGGCAGATCACTTGAGGTCAGAAGTTCACGACCAGCCTGGCTGATACGGTGAACACCATATCTACTAAAAATACAAAAATTAGCCAGGCGTGGTGGCATACACCTGTAATCCCAGCTTCTCAGGAGGCTATGGCAGGAGAATCGCTTGAACCTGGGAGAAGGAGGTTGCAGTGAGCTGAGATTGTGCCATTGCACTCCAGCCTGGGCAACAAGAGTGAAACTCCATCTCTAAATAAATAAATAAAAGCACTCCCTAAATCCTGCCAATTAACCTGGTCTAGTACTCAGGGCTGTTAAAATGAGAAAGAGAGGCGGGGTGCTGTGGTTGATGTGTGTAATCTCAGCACTCTGGGAGCTGAGGCGGATGGATTGCTTGAGCTCAGGAGTTTGAGACCAGCCTGGGCAACATAGCGAAACCCCATCTCTACAAAAATAGAAAAATTAGCCGGGCATGATGGCACTTGTCTGTGGTCCCAGCTACTCAGGCGGCTGAGGTGGGAGAATTGCTGGAGCCCAGGAAGTCAAGGCTGAAGTGAGCCATGAAGATGCCACTGCACTCAATAATTTTTTTTTTTTTTTAAATAGCAAGTTTGGTCAGGCGCAGTGGCTCATGCCTGTAATCCCAGCAATTTGGGAGGCGGAGGCGGGCAGATCACGAGGTCAGGAGATCGAGACCATCCTGGCTAACACGGTGAAACCCCATCTCTACTAAAAATATAAAAAGTTAGCCGGGTGTGGTGGTGGGCGCCTGTAGTCCCAGCTACTGGGGAGGCTGAGGCAGGTGAATGGCATGAACCCGGGAGGCAGAGCTTGCAGTGAGCCGAGATCGCACCACTGCCCTCCAGCCTGGGCGACAGAGCGAGACTTCCGTCTCAAAATAAATAAATAGCAAGTTTACAGGAGTAAAGTTAACAGTACTTATTCCTATGGTGATAATAACTACCTAAAATAAATGACAGACCTTAAGTTTAAATGAGTTAATGAGGTATAAATGAACTAGAAATAGCGATTGCCGTAAAGTTTTTTGTTTGTTTGTTTTGAGACGGAGTTTTGCTCTTGTTGCCCAGGCTGGAGTGCAATGGCGTGATCTCAGCTCACTGCAACCTCCGCCTCCCAAGTTTAAGCAATTCTGCCTCCCAAGTAGCTGGGATTACAGGCATGTGCCATCACACCTGGCTAATTTATTTTACTTTATTCTTTTGAAACGGAGTCTCGCTCAGTCACCCAGGCTTACAGGGTTTACAGGTGCCCACCACCACGCCCCGCTAACTTTTTTTGACTTTTTAGTAGAGATGTGGTTTCACCGTGTTGGCCAGGCTGGTCTTGAACCCCTGACCTCAAATGATTCACCCTCCTCGGCCTCCCAAAGTGGTAGGATTACAGGCGTGAGCCACCACACCCGGCCAATTTTGTATTTTTTAGTAGAGATGGGGTTTCACCATGTTGGTCAGGCTGGTCTCGAACTCCTGATCTCAGGTGATCTGCCCGCCTCGGCCTCCCAAAGATTATAGGTATGAGCTACCACACCCGGCCCAAAAAGTTTTTTTAATATTCAGTGATAAAAGGATACACAACAATAAGGATCATTCTTTTGTTTTTATATTTTTATTTATTCGTTTATTTGAGAACGAGTCTCAGTCTGTCGCCCAGGCT